GATTTTGTGGGATTTACACGCATCATATGGTGTGAGAAATGAAAGGGTTGAAACTGAGTTGCTGAGACGAGTCAAACAAAAGGGCCTACTTAATGTAACAAAGGGAACGAGATATACGACGATATTAATTACTTATGCGATCGAGTGTGTGAAAATTATGATCTCCCCTATATATGATCGTTTAATGGAGTAGCCTAGCCTCTCTGTGCGTTCTGACGTGGACTGAGAGTACACCTATAATGACATCCGTCGACGCTTCTAAATAAATTAATTTTCTTAATAAACTAACAACAAGTACAATTAAAGGAGAGGCATTCTAGTTTTAGAAGGAGCCTCGTTATTTCGTCCCTTTCCTCCGAGTAACAGGCGACTCCACTAGCTCCGATGCCTGGTCCAAACGATAGAGCCTGCGCTAGCTCCGTTCTTCCACACAACTATAGGGAAACGATTAAAAATATGCTATGATTTTCTATACAAGACACTCGTCAAGTGATTCATATAGATCACGAAAGGAATTAGCTGCATTGGGTCAGTTAGGACTGACTAGCTTAAACAACAAACTAAAGCTTTTCCCAGCCTGTTTCTAAAAGAAAACAAACTCAAATTCTATTGATCATGCATACAATGGGGATTTACAAATATTGATTGGTAATTGAAAAGTAAATGAAAAATAGAAAGTGAAGAGAAAGTACAACATTCTCAAGAAGTTCTTCCCTTTCTATTTACGAGGGCTATGCTAGCCACATTCGCGAGTGCTTTCCACTCACGCTGTGGCAGCGACACAAGTCCCCAAAGCAAAATGTATTCCCACGGCAGCACGAGTGAAAGCCACGCGCGACTGTGGTTAGACCTTCACAAATATTGTTTGGTAGAAAGTGAAAATGTGAAAAGTTGATGTGTTAACTAACAGGACACCATTTCTTTACACGAATTGTTTGATATCTACGGAAAGTGGGCAACAAAATTTTTTTTTCTAAACATGATACATAATAAAACATGAAAGATATAATATTAGCACTATATATTATGCCCCAAAGAGAATAAATATTAAATCATACTCAACAAAATGCTAACTATAAGCATAGTTGGTGCTTTTCTATTCTAGGATCTAGAAGCTAATAAAAAGTATTTAAATGATTTCCAATAAATAGTACATTTGCTACTGAAGAGGTTAAGCCATTAAGTTTTTCATATTTTTCTTGATGGAGCATGTTAAAACACTATCAGGTATATCTTACTTTTTTAATTACATTTTTCTTACGGAAGCATATTACAATAGGAATCAAATTCATGAACAAACACTTAGAAGTTGTGTGGGATGACCCTTGATTGCATCCCCAACAGTCTGTCTGAAGCTATGACTAGATTAAAGTAAAATAACATTATTTCTGTGAAGTGCAAAGCTTAAAAAGCTAATAAAATATTATTTTCTCCCTCCTCTCACCATTGCTTTCCTTTCATATCCTCTATTCTTTAAGAAAGTGGAATGGGTTTAAAAACTGGCCGACATCTCCACACTTTCTATTTATTTCCCATCACTTTTCAGGCCCAAAACGTGAAGAAACTAGAAAGTTATATCATTTTTCAATTTAGGAGCGCACTTCCCATTTATGTTCTTGTTGCCAACTCTGGGAAAAAAAAGAAAAGAAAAGAAAAGAAAAGGGGGGAAAAGAAGAAGAATAATGAATTCATTAAATAAGCCACGAAAGCAGGTGCACAATGCATAAAACAGGCAATGGGCCCATCTCATAAGGCCTTTCGCATACCTCACGTAATTTGGCCCAGTAAACATGTTAAAGCCCGACCAAATTGACCTCACCGAGCACCAGCGGGAGGCAGATCAGGCGAGGATCTCAGGCTTTTGCGGAGGAGGAGGATGAGCGTGAGTTTGCTGGGAGACGACGGTCGTGGTTACGAGCTTGCTCGGAGACTGGAGGGATGCGGTGCCTGGAGGTCTTGGCTCGGCGATTCCGCCTACTCCTCTTTCGCCCCCTCCCTCTCCTCCCCTTCGGCTTGGGACTCCTTCATGTCCCCTCCTCCTATTAATAGTAACAGCCAGGATCAGATCCATCTCCAGCTCAGAGCTCGAGCTCTCCTCTTCGATAAAGCCTCTATTTCTCTCTTTCTAAACCCTAGCTCCCCCTCCTCCTCCTCCTCCTCCTCCTCTTCTTATTCAATTTCTCACCTCAATCCCCAATGTAAGTTTCATCATCATCGTCAACCTCTTCCTAGGGTTTTTTCAATTTTCATCTTGATTGATTAATTGATTAGTTTTGTTTTAACCTCAGACTTTCAATTGCATGGGGATGATATATTCTTCTCGTTAGAACCTCAGCAAGAAGAGGATGAGCTCCATAAACAGGTGCTTGTATCTAAGTTTCAGTTAGGGTTTTTTTTTTTTTTAATTTTATTCCTTTTGCTCACATTTGCATGAAAACGCAGACAAGTTTTGAATAAGAGAATAAGGACATTTATCTATATAAAAATTTACCATCTTTATCGCCAAAGATCGTATGGAGGGCCCCTATTGAGGATCATATAGGGAGGAAGGTCAAGTTTTCGTGGGTACTAGATTTGGGGATTCCATTGGTTTGTGTTATGTCTTGCTTGGACAAGACTCGTTATTTTGTTTGCAGTGATATTCTAACTGCTTGCACTGATGTGTATTGTTTGCACCGATTTAAAAATGGTTGTGGAATACATGTCACATTCTGCGCACAGGCCATTGAAGTCGCAAAGTTGAAGATTTATTATGTAGTAAATGAAAGGAAGTCCTAAGAATCGACAATTTTAAAAGTTCAGGAAAACTGCCTATTGTCTATGAACCAAGGCATTAACCTGAATCAAATATTAACTTGCTTCTGAACATGTAGTCATTTAGAAAGGTGTCAAAGCCAAATTAGAAAAGGTTCTGGAGTGCACAGCGACGGAACCTGGGTCGTGCTGCTCATAAAACCAATCGGAGGCCCCGGATTCATCTATTCTACCTGATTTTCTGATGTGGCAGGCTATGTAGCACGGACACGGATCAGACACAGCCATCCGACTCGCCGACACGCCGACACGAGGCAAATCCTAAAAAATACATAGGATACGTGTGTTTGACACGTGTGTCCGACACGGACACGACACGACACGGCTTCATGTTATGCGTGTCCGTGCTTCATAGGTGGCAGGAATATGATTGATTTTTAAAATAAATATAAAGTTTGTATCTTATTTAATTTAAAATTAAAAATTAGATTATTTTTTGATAAAGGTATACATAAACATGTGTGTGCACACATGTATATGTATATGCACGCACAACCCACACGTATCCATGCGTATATATGTACACACACCATGAATGCTTATCCTTCAACCCTCTTTGCAGACTTTCATCTAAAAGGCTGACAAATTTTTCTTTTTTACTGATCACACTTCTTAGATGACTGAAGCTGGTTAGACGCATATTAATTTGTCTATTGCTTTGGTTCAGAGTTTAGAATCATCTTTCTTATTTGGCAATGCATGTCAATTTTTTGTCTTCATTTTCTCCAACAGTTGTGCATAGCCTTTGAATCAATCTGATGTTTTACACTTTTGCAACTACAAATATGTCAATTTTTTTAGTATAGTTCCCGCATATCTTTTGATACATTCCCACAGGTACACAGTGTTTGAACTACTTGTCTTAGTATACTATTAATTTCTTATGAAACAGCAAACACGAGATTTCAAATGTCCATGTCTTTCAATTGTCCATGACTTTAAGTTGTACTGCAAATTTCTTAGAATGTCCATTGTCTTAGTAAAGAATTGTACCGTTAATTTCATATGAAACAGCTAACACGAGATTAGAATGTCTCTGTCTTTGAATTACACTTGAAGTAATCTCCAGTGTTCATCTAATTGCATATCTACAGTGTGTATTGAATTTCTGTCACCTATATGTCTTTATGGTCTTTAAGCTAAAAGTTTACTTGAATTCTTGAAACTCATCTGAATTTCTGTCACCTATATGTCTTTATGGTCTTTAAGCTAAAAGTTTACTTGAATTCTTGAAACTCATCATCCATCTTAGTGGATAATTTTTTTTATGGTCTTTAAGCTAAAAGTTTACTTGAATTCTTGAAACTCATCATCCATCTTAGTGGATAATTTTTTCCTTATTTTTAGCTGATCTCCTTAATACTATATACAGCTATCCAGTGCATTCAATTGATCTTGGTTCTCAGGGTTGCAATTTGAGTAGTGTTTTATTGAACTTTATTATCTACATGTTCTTGTTACTTTTCACCATGATTTCTTTTTTGGGAACTATTGTTATTCTTTTAGTACATGAAGTTTCTAACATCTGTTCATAGAATGACATTTGTTTTCCGAGGATTTCTGAAATACTTCTTTTATATGAAAAAAATGTAGCCATGGATTTCATTTTCAAGAGCCTTTCAGAATCCCGTTTGGTGATCTGACTTCTTGAAGCGTCTTACTGTATAGCCACTTTTACTGGCAGATTTGTTTGCTCTATTCCCTTGCTTGACAATT